GCATCGCCGTTTGGCTCAGGCCATGCGACTCCCTCTTCCCCAAGTGTGACCAAGGTTGCGAACCGTGAACTCCATGTTTGTCATGTTCAGCAGCTATAAGTGGCAATCCAAAGAAAAAAAAACCTCTGTCCAGGGATGAGACTGTGGAAAGATGCCGAAAGTTAACGAACCTCAATTTGCTGCCGGTTGCAAAAATTGAGACGGCACCAAAGGTGTCAGCCTGTTCCAGAGCCTGCAGAGTTTGGACAATGTACCACAAGCAAGATCAGTGTAAGTTGTGAAAATAAGGCTCATAAGGTTCATATTAAGAAGATCGAATGTTTTGTTGCAAAGTTTTGTGCACTGAGCGTGTTTTGGGGCAGCTTGGTCTTATGTTTGGCATGAGTCTGTTCTTGTTGCATGGTATGTCTTTTACATTTGGCATGTTTTGGCATGGTAAGACCAGAGTGCTTCCGAGCTGTTTCCTCGCTTCGTGCTTGCCGCATCGTTCATATCTTGACAGAGTGATGATGCGCTCGGATTGCTTTGCGGCCTTTTGCTGTTGCTAGGGTGACGCAAAGGAGTTTTGGAAACTGAACCTAGTGTTGGAAGTGTCCACGCTTGCATGCGTTTTGCTAAGTCCTCCGCTTCTTATTTGGGACTCTGCAACACTTTCAAAGTCCATCTTCCACGGAGTTCCGGCACCAAAAAACGCTTTATCTTCAACACGACAGTTTACTGTTACGCCATCCGGGAAATCTCATCAATAATCATTGTTCTGCTCTGGATTCCTGGTTGTGCTGTCGCAAATATAGGTTGCGTACAGTTTGCAGTGATTGAAGGTTCAAATTGGAATACAAGAATGTGTTTTGGTCAAGTCAATTGTGGTGTCGATCGCGATATAATTTTCGATCGTATGTTTTTGATTTATGTAACATTGACGGCAAAACCAGCATCAGCATCTTGATGGTTTGCAACATAGGTTATGGTGCCTCTTAAAATCATGTGCAGTTTGTCGAGCATTCAACTTTGGCATCCTGATGTATATTCCAACGGTAATAAACCTCGTAGTAAAGCAGTGATACTCAATAATGATCGAAAACCCATCGCTTTGTTTGTATAGGGCGTTTGTTGGAAGACAGTTCCTGGTCGCCATGGGCATTACGTGTTCGACGGGCTACGGCTACCATTCCACAATGACGCAGGTGGAGTACGTCCACGAAATGTATTGCCCCATGAAGGTGGTCAAGGCCAACGGTTGTGACATGTGGGATCAGTGGGAATTCGCATTGCCTTTACATCCTAAATGTTTTGGCTGCCTCGTAAACTTCAACGTGTGTCATCCCTTGGACCGACGGTGTGCGAACATGCGTACACATACGTCCTTGACAGTTCGGTCAGGTCCGATGCAACCTCAACCCGAAAACTCGCATGCAGAAGCTTCTTTCAAGGTGTCGGATGTTTTGCAAATGGACAATGTACCGCTGCCACACATCGAACTTGAGAAAGTTGGTTTGCTTCACACATGGTCCAGTGGCGGACATTGTTTGCAGCTTTTGCTCCTGGTTATTTTTTGGAAGTTGTGGCGAATTCTTCACACATTTGGCCTTGTTTTTCTTTGCATTTGCAAGGTGCCCAGGCATGTTCACCGTTTTCGTTTCTCACCAATGGTTGGGAGCAGTTCATCCCGATCCTGGTGGTGAGCAGTTTGCCATCCTGCGTGAGACACTACAAGGCATTGTGAATGGATCCCTGGAAGTGGAGGCAGATGCGATTACAGTCATGAATGCGAGCCTGGAGAAGGTTGATGCAGAAACGCGTAAGGCAGGGGGGATGTAACATGTATTTATTGATAATTTTGATGCCACGAGGTTTGTCAATTATCGCGAGATTGCGGTTTCAAGCTGTGCCGTTTTTGCATTCAGGCGGTGCGCAATGGATACGTGTTCTTGGACTGGTTCGCGATACCACACATCTCCGCACGTATGCGGGAAGACCAGACACAGTCGCAAGGCCTCCTGGCGGTGCGGAGCATTCCGGCCTATGTTGAGGTGGCGGACCTTTTCGTAGCGCTTGTCCCGAATTTGATGCGAGAACACGGCAGTTTCTGGGCTGCATTGTGTGGACCCGGTTGATGAATAGACGCACGTTCTGCGATACCGATCGATGTAATCGCTAAACTTTTGGGTTGCACCAGCACAGGCATCTGCAACTACAGTTCATGGTTGTCGAGGGGTTGGTGTATGGCGGAGCTCTGGTGCCGCCTTCTGTCCTGCAAGCAGAACACCAGTGTGATCGCCGTGCATTCTCCCAGGGAGGTGAAGTTCATTCACCCCTTTGACTGGCAGGATAGGTTGTGAACCTTCGTGAACCCGCATTGCTGCGCTTCGTCATTGCTTCTAGAGCTCGTTCCTAACGAGTAGGCTTGGCATTGCTTGCAGCAAGTGCTGGCAGGCCAACCGCATTTGCGACGGCGAGTTTACGGTTGAGGAGGATCGGGCCGAGGTGTCCCAGCTCGGTGCTGTAGCGCTGGCCCGCAAGATGGTTTTTTTGGCCAGCAGCAGCATGTGGGATGTGTATCGCTTCTTTGTCGCACAAAGCCCAATGATGTTGGGCCAGGCGAGCACAGCACGCAGCACGGAAGCCTTCCTCAATGACTTTCGTTTTGATGACATGGAGCACGCACGGGCCAAGCCCGGCATGAACGGCGTGATGTGTGCAGCCTTCTCCGAAGACATCGGGATGTTGCGACAACTTGTAGAGACTCCGGCTGATGTCAACTTCAAAGTAGAAGGTCTCCTCGAACTGGGTTTCTTCGATGGACAGCCAGCATTGGGGGTGATTACCAGATCGTGCTCGGTCGAGGCGAGGAAGTTGCCAGATGTAGTTGAACTTACTAACTAGGAAGTTGAGGCTTCGCAGTGGATTAGCAAGTCAGGTGGTCTCTACCTTTCTCGAACTTGGCGCCGATGTGCATGCACAAGATCGTAATGGGGCGAGTCCCATCTGCATGGTAAGATCCCCGGAGCATCTTGGTTGAAGCCTGGGAGACTGTTTTTGCAGGTGTGAGATCTGAAGGGATTCAGGCTTACCTTGCTGTACTTGCACTCCGTATGAAATGTTTGTTGCATTTCAGGCACGTGCGTGTACTGGCTGAATTCGGCGCCGACTTGCATTCGCCAGTCTTCCCACTGGGGCTCTCGCCCATGACACTGGCCATGTCGCATGCTTGCCCCCGAACGATTGAAGCGATGCTTTCTCTGAAATGTGATCCCAACCCTGAGACTCATGGTCTCGGATATGGGCCGCTTCATGCAATAACTGCCTTTTCTCGGGAGAACGCACATGCAGAAGGCATTGCGCGACTCCTACTTGCACGTGGTGCAGACTTGAACTTCAAAGCGCATCCGGACGGCCTTTTCAAGGCGATCACGTACGGAGCCCGTGCTTACTATGCCGTCGTCAGGTTGGAGTGCAGTTCGCTGATGAGTGTCAAGGTATTGGCATCTTTGCCTGGCTTGACACCCGTGGCGTTTGCTGCTCTGCTCGGTAGCACGGCGTTGGTTCAGATATTCATGGAAGCCGGGGCAGAGATGGTTGCCAATCACCGCGGGGACTTCCCAGACGATTTGGCGAGAGCAAACCGCCATCACGACTTGGCGACAGAATTGTCCTTCTTCAGCATTTGAGTGAGCGTGCGAGTAAGTGCGAACAGACATCACCAGATAAGGTGTTTTCATGTTCAGGCAGTTACTCGGTTTTTTTGAGCTGTGAGGCTCCCAGTTGCAGCGGCTCTTGAGCTGCTGCAACTGCCGGTTTCGTCTTTTGCCCGCCAGCTACACCGTTTGAACATGCCTTGGGTTTCTCACAGCGTTGGGGTAATAAAGGAACACTCACTTCTAGTCAGATTCCTTCGTGGACCAACAGGGCATGCTTGGGGACCACGCGTCTTCGGAAGCTTTCGATGGCTTTTCCAAAACCTTCAGGAGACATCACACATTCTCATACGTCATACTGATCTTCACTTCGGAGGAGGTTGCAAGCTTCTGCCTCAGAACGGTTCTGTCCGCAGGTTCCTTTTACCTGCTCGCGTTAAGGATAATCGTCCTCGACGCCATTTCTGTCGGAGTGCTTTGTGTGCCAGTCGTACTTTGCAATTTTGCTGAGAATCAAGGGCCTTGGGTTGAACACGGTAGAGAGCCTGCTACCCGTTTGGGAAACGTCGGTCCGAGCCACTAAGCGGCGTGGACATTCTCGTCAATAAATGGAAGCAAGATTCTTGTGCGGATGCTGCTGGCTCGTTCTTGTTCAGGCTTCGCGATCTCCCGATGACCTCAGCTGCTCAGTAGCTTGAATTTGAGGAACAACTGTGGAGAAATTTGATATTTCCGCTCCATCAAAGTTCCACGGACCTGACGCGCTCAGCCTCTCGGGGCAGGTGATCATTTTCTTTGCATCGGCCGTTTTGCGAACACTTTTCAATGTCGCCAGTCTTCAACTGCAGCTATGAATGCGCCTGACAATTCCAACAAATGCGTGGCGGTCAGAGATCTGACATACTAGCTAGCCGAGGTTGCCGTGTCTCTAGAGATGCTTGTAGCTCGATGGCCGCAGACTGCTGCGCGTTTGCCGGGGTGCCTGCTACTGTACGGCACAGATGTTTACGTCGCGGCTTCACCCGAATCGGAATTCCTCAGCTTGGGCGGAAAGCCGACGACGGGAGTGAGCTGCACTGCAAAACACCGTCCAGTCCAAGGCTTGCATGCAGGACCTCTGAGCGTCATCTGCACTTGCTTTCGACAAGGCAAGAAATGTGGATTTCTGTACCAATTGACTTCAGTCCTTGAAGCCTTAGCCGCCTTAGCTATAGACTTTAAAGCAGGACAGCAGATATGCACATGGCCACACATGCGCCCTCGACACAAAGCGGGATACTACGCAAGCGGCATCGCACACGGTTGTAGGTGTGTGAAGCAGACTAACAACTCCGACGGATACCGAATGTACCGTGGTCTTCCGCGATGGCGCCGTCCAGTGATGCACAACTGCTTCCACACGTCAGGAACAGCTACTATGCTGCTTGCCTCTGAAACTCCAGTAATTGATGGCCTCTTGTCACTGTCCTGTGGACTTTGTCTGGCCTCGGCAATCTCAGACCTCCAGGCGATTATGGCGATCCCGTGGGATGCGTCCGAAGAAGAAATCCGCAGGAAGTATCCCAGAAGCAAGGAACTTCAGTGCATGCGCAGTCGCATCAAGTACTGGATCACGCTTTGTTTCAGAAGCTTGTTTGTAAATCTTGCAGCACAGTGGCACCTTTTGCATCTGTGCCGGTCTACTACCAGCATTTACAGCCGCGGCACTAATCTCACGTTGATGGGCAGGCTGACATAGTGCCCTGCCAAGATGAAAATACCGTAGGCAGCAGCCATGAACCAGGTACCACTCGCTCATGCGCGAATTTCACCCTGACAAAGGCGGGCTTCCAGCTACAGTAGTCGCATGTGTACGTGAATGACGATCTTGCACGCAGATGCTGGCAGGTGGCCGCCGCATCGGGGGAGCTGCAACAGCCGAACACTTCCATGAGGTGAGAGGGCTGACGTTGCTGACACTTCTAGCTTGTACGTTTTGTGATGTCGTGAAGGCACATCTGTGTAACATGTGTTTATCTATAAGAATTTCCCTTCTGCGGAAATATGTGCATGCATTCATGGCTGTTGCTGTGTCAAGGTGCAAAGTGCATATCGGTGTCTCTCTCATCCCACGAGGAGGTCAGCAACAGTCAGATTTTGTATCGACAGGGACCTGTTATGTTGTCAAAGCTCTCGTCGCATGATGAATATGTTTTCGCTTCCGCTGTGCCCAGGCTGCAATATGATTTGAGAACGTTTGGACGATCTTCCCTCGCAGTGGGATCGGAAGGCGAAGAGCTTTTGATGCGCTGCAAGGATGGGCAGTGGCTTGCGAGCAAGAGCTGCTTTTGCAAGCATACTTCTCGGAGGCTACGAGTAAAGGCATGCTTTGCGGAAGAGATGTCTTCATTCTGAATCGAACAGCTCCTGCCAAACTACGAGGAGCAGGCGGAAATCGATCTTCGAAATATGCAGGCCTCGAGACTCAGAGTGCGCCCCTACATGGGCCGTTGAGCATAGTTCACATATGTTCACATGAGACCTTACTGGGCAGGTGCAACTTCGCGGGATCTTGCAGAAGGAACAGAAGGTCAAAGGGTTGATTGTCACGCAGGCCCAGGGGCGGCCATGTGTTTGGACTCACCTTCAAAATGCAGGACCGAAGCACAAGCCGCCTTGCAGTTCTGAATTCTCATGCGTTGAAGCAGCAAGTCATCCAAGTCTGTTTGCAGTCAGCAAGTAGACTAAGTAGACATGCTGCGAAGCAGGGCATGTGAAGATCGTATGTTGAACCTTACGTAGCTATTTTTGCTTCGGTCAAGCCGTTTCGTGTTGCATGTCTTCCGGGAGGCTGTGGGTGGAGAGGTTGGCGAATGGTCAAAGGTATTTAAACTGTTTGAAATTCTGAAATTCTTCGAGTTTTTACATCCGGACGCTTTAAAGATTTTAAGAAAGTTAAAAAGTAAATACCAAACAGTCTTATCGGCTGTCAATCTGGGGAGCTGTAATGGGCTGGGTCTTTTGCGGTGCTGGGTGGGGGGTGGGCTGGGCTGGATGCCGGCTGGGGTTGGTACTGCTGACTCATGTCTGGCTTTGCAGTCAGGCACTTTATGGCAACTTGCAGCTACGTGAAGAGATCTTGCACGAGGCCCTGGTGGGTGAGAGGCCAGATTATGCGTTGACACAGCTTGCAGTATGTGAAACGTTGACGCTTTGTCAGACAGTCTCCTGTACATTGCATACAACTTCACGATCTGCGTGTCCACCTCAATGTATCATTTGAGCAAGCTTCCCTTTTCCACAGACAATGTTAGTAGATGTTATACACGTCTGCGCAAGCGACACCAAGTGTGCCAGTTCAAAACGCGTTGTTGAAATCTGCATGAAACACCAGACTCTCAAGCAGGCCTATACGCGGAGAAGACTTGGCAGGGCCGTGGATAGATGTGACCACGGCTCTGCAGTGCTTGGTGGCTTGGCCCTGCGAGTTCTGGTTGTTTTAGGGCTTCTGTTCTCTTCCATTTCAGATATCCATGCATCATCATGCATCCTGTGGCTCATGGACTCATGGTCCCGCTGATGGCTGCACGGCATAACTATTCGCACCTCAGGTGGAGGAACACAGGATTGTTTTACACGGCGGCATCACTGCATCGAAGGCAGGATTTTGTGGAAATGTAGTGTGTTGCGAACACATGCGTGGCTTGTCTATGTGTGTCTGCGTTTGAGAGCGAAGTAACCCAACAGAGAACGCCTCATGGCGGAGCACATGCCATGACAATGACCATGACCACAATGATGATGATGATGTTGATGATGACGATGATGATTCTGATGACGCTGATGATGTTGGTGATGCTGATGATGATGATGATGGTCCTGACAGTCATCATCATCGTCGTCATCACTATCAGGGTGAGCATCTGCGCAATGTCCGGGTTTGCATGATTACGTTTTTGCGCACGACCTCGCGCCTCCACTGAGATGGCTGGCAGTTCCATGGAGTGCAGAACCCCCATCTAAGGTTAGGGCTCCGGTTTAAGCTTAAAGTTTAGGCTGCTAGCAACATTGACATCAGTAGATTGAGGAACACAAACAAATGCATCAACAGGCGGGAAAACGACAGCAGCGACATCAGCAACAGCAGCACTCCCCCACTCTCCTCCACTCCTCTCCACTCTTCTTCATTCCATGTGTGATTCAGTTTACCTACAATGAGGGCGTGTGTTAGAGTGTAGATAGTGTAGCGACCCCGTTCAGCCCAAAGTTGGCATGAAATTGGAGTTTATTTTGCAGTGCAACACGAAAGGTAGGAAGCAGTGAGGGTGACTTCGGAGCGCCGTCTGAGGGACACTGGGGTGTTTTACAAGTTCACAGACAGTGGCTGGAGACTCCAGGTCGCAGTGGCTATGGCTCAAGCGAAAGGATAACCCATACTCTTCGCGAGAAGGAGCCAGAGTTGCAAGCAACCCATGCTGTGAACCTTGGCGGCGAAGTAGCAGTGGGGTGCAACAACTACAACAACAGTCACGGCAGCAATGTTAACATTCCCCTTTGCCGATGCAAAATCGTGCCAAAATCATGCAACGGCACAGCGCCAGGTGCCACTAAAGGGCCTTCGTGATTCCTAAAGCAAAGTCGTTCCGAAATCATGATGAAACGAGTTACAACTTACCCGCTCAGACCGAGAGGGTTGCAATTTCTACGCAGCCGCAAGGCAGTGGTGGTCAAACGGCCATCAACGACACATGACCTCCCGAAATCACCGAAGGGGTCGAAAAAGGTGCTTACAGCATCATTACGCGACGCATCGAAGAGGACCACGTCGCATCATGAAAGCCATCACATGTGACACATGAATTATGACATCAATGCAACGCAACAAGAAGGCCTGACATGGAGATTTGGCCAGGTGGACCTGCCGGGAGTCTACAATCCACTACCTCTGGATTCAGAAGCTGAGCTCAGCCTCTATGTGCTGTACCAGTTCCAGGATGCAACGCACGAGGTCCACTTCTTGGAGACCTGCAGTTCAGCATTCCATGTGTCGGCTTGCACTTGTACCGTGCATTCAGCGGCACGCCTGTGTTCCAGCATAGCTATTGCAGCATATGTGCATGAAGCAGTGCAAAAAGGTTCCCCACTGAAACATCTCGCTTACCTTGGAACACCAGCACAAAAAGCCACAGCAGCTGTACAACCATTGTCGTTCAATTTTGTTCGTGTCTCCAGAAGGTATATGTCATCGAATGCTTTCTGATGCATGAGCGAGTCTGCGGTTTTCCGTCGGGCTGCCGCTGTTTTCTGATGCCAGCCGCAACTTTGCATGAAGACCTTCCATTCGGCGGATCCATCCCCACAAGGTCTTGCATGATTCTGCCTGTCCGATTGCAGGCTGTTTTGACAGGACTGGCGGCCCTGGCTTGGGGACTGGGTAATCTGAACGAATTTCGAGTTTTCAGGTCGTTGACTTGCCATCGCAGTCTACTATGCATCTATTCATCTAGTCCAAGAGACTTTTGATGGGCCTGGTCGAGAGGCACGCCTAGGACCACAGGAACGGCCGCACACCGTATAAATTGCTAGCATGCGAACGAAATAGCCGGCATCCGGCTGTGTTTCGAGGTCACGGTGGGCGACCGTCAGCCACTCTCTATGCCATTGAGGACCACAGCCCATGTGCTTCACAGGCCAGTAAGCTCCTGCCAGTGCAAACCTGAACTGTGCACAGGACACATCTCGTAGCCAAGGGAACGCACCCGCGAGGGCCTTTCGCTTCATCGAATGCTGACCTTTTGATGCACAAAAGGCCTGCTTCTGAATCACCTTGGTGACGCGCGATGACGAAATCCTCCTTGCAGGCAACGTGATGCAATCGCTCCGCGACTGCGGCTGCTGTCTCCAGAGGAGGTGGGGATGGTGAGAACTGCAAGTTTTTGTGGCTGAAGTTTGCCACCGGGCAGGCGCTACAGAAAGTTGTCCAGGCCCACTTGGTTTGGCGACTTCATGGACAACCCGGGGATGTTTCCAAGCGCGAGCCAGCTGGCTAGACTCAGTTGAGGTTCAAGAGGCTGCCTTGTTCTGTTGGCTGGGTTGCTAGGTACCGCCTCGCGCTGTCCACATGTGCTCTGGCTGCTGCAATGACCCTCTTCTTCATTCTGCGTGGCTTGGCAAAGGCGGTGAGATCTTCGTCTCCAACCCGACATAAGCATCAAGTTGCCTTCGAAGCAGCTGAGGGACATAGCTTTCCCTTGTCGCGTATTCCTGGAGTACAGTCTGCTCTTGCCCGATTCCGATTGAAGGTGTGGCATGTCATATTCACAGCCCACATGCTTTCGCAGCCTGCGAGGTTAAAGCACAACGAATGCTGCAAGTGCATCCAAAAGTTCGGGAGACGTGGCTGTGTTTTGGCAATGCCAATTTTGACATGATGCAGCCTGGAATGCAGCTTTCAAGATGCCACATCAAGTACCACGTAAGTTCGGGCAATGACGATCTGGCCACGTCAAGGCCAGCACAAACCCTCCAGCGCGAATATAGGTAAGCACCAATGAACAAGGAGTACCCATACAGGAAGTAAGACCATTCGTGCTATTTATGCGGCAGAAGGATCTAGCCGCATTTTCCTTACTTATGCCATCTATCAACACGAAAACATTGCACAATGGATCTCAATTGACTAATTATGCAGCTTGAACACACCGGCTCCAGTAGAGACTAGTAGACGTGCCGGCCCTTGGAGAACCATCGACGGTGGACCCAAGTGGATGTGTGAGGGAACTGTTGCAGTAGCTGTTCATTGTGAGTGCTTAGTTCCGGGTCGAGTTTGTGCATACTTCGCTGGTGCTGTCGTTGTTTCTTGTCCGACTTCAAACGGGTCAGGCGCTCGAGGTCTAGAATGGATCGCGGATTTTGCAGTGCAAGAGTGTCATGTCTGTAAATTATGGCATTGTTCATGGATGGGAATTTTGTCTCTCCCCACGAGTGGAACTTGTATAATTTCCAAGTCCAACTACAGTAGCACAGATCCTGCTTCGACAGCAAGCGGATATGCGTCGGCACTCTACAGGGTGTTTCAGTTCTGTACCCTTGCTCCACCGTAGTGGTATGTGCAGATTCCCTGCTTTGGCTGTCAGGCTCCCAGCTAGCAGTCTGAATCCCACTTCAGCTTCCAGCAAGTCTGCCTAGAAGTGTCAAGCATGCGTGATGGAAGCTGTAAGTATCAGTTTGGTAATGCACTCCCAGCTCCCTCCACAAGTGCGACGTGCATAAATGTACATAAATATGCTTTCTGCAATGTCACTCACGGCCATCAGCCTACTGCTGCTCCTGGTGCAGAAGGGCAGTGCTTCAGCCTCAGATTGGAAGTCGACCAAAGGTTTGCGCAGCGCTTGACGGCTTGTTCAGGCAGCTGCCTCGGCATCCGCCAAGCCGAAGCCGCATATCATCCACATACTGGCGGACGACTTTGGCTGGGCAGACGTTGGCTTTTTGTCTGACAGTGCAGTGGGATGGCCATGATGGTAGGTTTCTACATGTTTTCATTCTGAAACGTGAGAAGATCCGCAGCGGCAGCTGCGGGGCTCAGAAGCGAATGGTTCTGTCAATTTCGGGTCCGCCTTGTTTATTTCGGTGCGAGTTTCGGAACCGAATTTCAGGCCCAAGCTGCACCGTTTCGGAAGGCCAGACAGACATTTCGGGTCTCGGGCTTTGGGCTTGGCAACGGGTTCTGGGTTGCAGAAAATGTCTTCTTTTGGGATTGTGGGTTTCTCAACCAACATCTCCTTAAGGGTTTTTTGGTTCGACACCCAACATCTCCTTTTGGGGTTGAGGGTTTCTCAATCAACATCTCCGGGTAGGTCTTTGGTTTTTTGACCAACATCTTCCTTTTTGGTTTAGGGCTTCTCAGCCAGGTATATTGGGTTGGCAACCAACAGTTCCTGTTAGGGATTAGGACTTCTCAACTAACGTGTAACTGTTTCGCAACCAAAATCTCTTTTCGGGGTTGGCAACCATTTAGGGTTTGGGTTTGTCAACCACATCGTTTTTTGGAGTTCCGGGTTGAGCAGAAGTTTTATGAACCAACATCTCCTTGCAGCGTTTTGGGTTCTTTAACCAACAATTGTTCCAAGGGTTTGACAGCTTGCGTGCCCTTTGACGTTCGCAACTAGCGTCTGCAGTTACAGGGATCGAGGCAGGCTGAGGTACTGAGGCTGTTTAAGGACTTGCGCTGTTGATGAAGGGGTCCTTCTTGGGGTTTCGGTCGAGACAGGCCTTTGCTACCGAACAGCAGGGCGAGACTGAGGGCGAGCCGGGCGAGGAGGCCGACGATGATGACGAGCTGGTCTTCGAGGATGACGGCAACGGCCCCTCCCTGGACGAAGTACTGGAAGCTGAGGCGGAAGCCTTGGCAACGGAGCTTACGCTGACGGACTTGAGCCCCAGATGTTGGACGAGGTGGAAGGAACGGTGGAGTCCGCTGCCGAGGCTCTTCTGACAATGCGGGAGGCACGCCGCAAGTTGCAGGAGGTACGCAAGGACAGGGGCTTCGGCAAGGCTTCGTCTGCACCGTCTTCTCCCGCGTCGGGGAAGCCTGGCTTCAAGAAGCATGGGATTTGCCACGATTGCGGCCAGCCCGGACATTGGTGAGCAGCAATGTCTAGCTCGCCGCCGCGTCGCAGAGTCGAGGCAACGCAGGATCAGGCCGATCAGCCTCTCCACGTGAGGCGGCGGTGGTCTCCTCCTCAACCTCTCTTTTGCAGACGCGCTCGAAGCGGGCCAGCCGCATGAGGTGCAGAGTGCTCTGGCGGTGGACAAGAGATTAGTGGGGGCCCTCGACGGTCCATGCAATCGGACTGTGTGAAGTCGCCGTTGGCTGGAGGGCTACCTACAAGCCCTTTCAAGCTCTCCTTTGTGGCAGGCACTGCAGTCCCTCGTGAAGACGGAGGCGGAGCGGGAGAATTTTCAGTTCGGCAATGACGGGATGAAGGCCAGCCACTCGCGGCGTCGACTTCCGATGGTTGTTGGGGAGTCCGTAGTTTGGACAAGTGTTGTGGAGGTCGAGTCCTTGGGCCTCCTTCTCGGGAGGGACTTCTTGGAGGCCGTCGGAGGTGTGATCAGTTTTACTCGGAGGGCTTTGCGGGCTGACCACCTTGATGCCAAGCGGATCCCCTCGCAGCAGCTTTCGGCAGGTCACTTCTTCTTGGAGGTCTTCCCGAAAACTTGAAAAGCAACAGTGCGACCAGGGCGTCGAGAAGGCCAGGGCGGGGTACTTGAAGTTCAGCTGAGCTCTTTCGAGTGGAGCCTCCGTCGTGCTGCTGCAGTGAAGGGCTCGCCTTTGCTGCCGAATCGTGAACATGAGCCGTTTGTTATGGAGCAAGCTCGGGTGGGCCTTGCTGGCAAGAGTGGTTCGAGAGTTGCACATTCGATGTCCTGACCGGCTGCTTCGAGCCCTGCTCGTGCTTTTCCCCGTGCCGGTGCTGGACAGAAGCCGCGCCGATCGAGTGGCAGGGCGATTTCGGACGATGTGCCTAGGCCTACGCCTCCTCGAAAGAAACATTTGGCACTTCGCTGGACTGCTGCTTTGGCTGTTGCAGCGACCTTTGCTTCGCTACGTTCCCCTGCCGTACAGCAACACCCGGTCGCTGGCGGCGTGGGAGGAGCAAGCCGAGGCTTTGGTGCGAAGTGGGGCTCTTGCGTGGCGGCACTTCCGTCGCCGCTGGGTTCGCGCGTCGCGCGTTGGGCCGCGTGGGAGGACAGACGGGTGCTACGGCTCGTGTCTTACGTTCACCACACCCGGGATTTGACAATGCAAGCATCGTGTTCCAAAGACGCTCTACCTGAGCTTCAAATATACACGGATGCGGATTTTGCCGCGTGTCCATTTACTGCACGCAGCACATCCGGCATTGTAGTGCACATCGGAACAGGTCCTTGTGCCTTCCCGGTAATGTGGCAGAGTCGTAAACAAACGTCCACTGCTAGATTCTGCTAGATCGACTCCAGAAGCCGAGATGATTGCCATGGCGTCGGCAATGTTTTCGGAAGTGATTAACTTGCAGATGTTTCTTGAAACCGTGTGCAAAGATGTAGTGCCCATGATTTTCATCAAGATAACGAGACTGTACTCACCATTTTCAAAAGCGGTTATAGTGCTGAGCTTAGGCACCCTGGACGCGTCCACCGCGTCAACCTTGCCAGCATGTCCAAAATTCTTTAGCAAGAAAGGTATTTGGCACCTTACATCAACAGCAAAGAGCAGCTTGCGAACGGATTGACGAAAGTCATCCCTTCTGGAGAATGGCTAGCAGTGCTTGTCCAACTGTGCTTGTCCGGAGGACATCCTTCACATGCTTCGGTCTCAAAAGCGAGCATCGTAGAAGCAGAACAATTTGCAAAGGCATTGCGCAAGAAGATTGTGGCATCAGACGTGATGCAGTTACTCTTGTATTTGCCGAGCGAAAACGTGTCTCGCCCAACACAAAGTGAGGCGACCTGCTTTACCACCGGTGCCTTTGCGCACGGTGGTGGGATCGCAGGGTTATGGCAACATGTAAGCACCTTCGCCAACGTTACTTCAGTCTTGTGTAGGTTTGTCCGTAGGGTCTTGCCGGAGCACAAATTCACTGCGGTGATGATAGCCAGCGATCAACTTACTCTTGTGCACCGTGATTCCTTTAACGAGCCCTGCAGCAAGAACGCTGTAGTGCGACTCGAAGAGTTCGAGAGGGGGGCCAGGTTCCTGACGGTCAGTGGCCTTGCCCGGACCAAAGTAGAAACAAAACCGGCCATCTGTCGAGCTGGCCCGCAATCTTCGATCCCAGAAAACTTCATGCCACAACCCCGTGTCATAAAGGCAGAAGGACTGTGCTAATTGCCTTCACACCTCGCAATGTGAAGAAGCTAAGTGTTGAGCATCAACTGCGGCTTAGGGCGCTGGGTTTCAACTTCTAAAAGAAGTGACCCGATCAACATTCTATCCAAGATTTATCCCCGAAGCGGCGTCTCACGCAACACCCTGAAAGGTGGGAGTTAAATGAAAACGTACAGTTTCTGCATGGGACATGATTCTGTGCATTCTTTAGGAGAGCCACGTGACGACGCTCGCACGTTCTAATTTGGCTCAAGTACACGGGACGTTGCTGAGTCCTTTTTGCTTGCTATCATTGAGCACGTCGGTGTACCATGTGTTTAACTTCTGCTTTTAAATTTGGGGATTGGGGTTTCGCAGTCATAATGTCCATGCAGGGTTTGGGTTTGCGTGTCTCAACCGACATCTCCTTGGCAGCTTTGGGTTTCCCAGCTTTCATACCTTTCTAGGATTCTGGGTTTCGCAACCAACATGTCCTTTTGGGAGAAGTGTTTGTCAACCAACATATCCTTTTGGAGTATTGGGTTCGGCAACCACAGTTCCTTGTCAGGATCAGGGTTTTTCAACCAATACCCTCCTTTGAGGGTACGGGTTTGGCAGGCAACACGTCCTTTTCACGAAAGCTGTCTTTGGAGCTGTCGTTTACCAAAATCATTTTAGTAGGCTATCAGTTCGTGCTGCGACCCGAAATGGCTTAGTCCTGGCCTGAAATAACGTTGCCCAGCATTTCGATTATTTTTACCAACGCGGACGTGAGCTCAGGTTATCATCGTCAAGCAGGAGATGACGACGTTCGAACGCCCAACCTGGATGCACTGGCCAGGTTCTGCCTCACGAGAGCTCCAGAGTTGAATTCTTGAATGTAGGGGCCTTGCAGCACAAGCCGCATGCAGGTCTGGTATCGAGTTGGATCGCTTCTACACGTACCAATTCTGCTCTCCAGCACGGAGTGCAATCCAGACTGGGCGGAATCCTATTCACGTGAACGTTCAAAATGTCAATCCTGAATGCGTCAACTCGCGGGATTTACTCGGGGGTTTTCAAGGCATTCCGCTGAATATGACGGGAATAGCCAGCCATTTGAAGGCCGCCGGCTACAGCACTCATATAGTTGGTAAGTGGGATGTGGGGATGGCCACTCCGCAACACCATCCCCGAGCTCGTGGCTATGATAGTTGGCTTGGATACTGGCATCACAGCAATGACTACTGGCAACACACTGTTGATCGGTGTGGCTTGCACAAGATGCGAGATCTCTGGCAATACAACACATCCTATGATGGCCCGGCCTGGGCCCTTGCGAACGGACCCTCCTGCTCACAAGACAACCAGCATCCATCGGGCGAGACCTGTGTTTACGAAGAAGCTCTTCTCACGGATGCTGTCAAAAACGTGATTCGGGAGCACAATCTGTCAAGACCGCTTTTCCTCTTCTGGTCAATGCATTTGGTGCACATGCCGCTGCAGGTCCCTCTTGCGTTTGAACAGAAGATGCTCGTTTGATTCCAGTCAACTTCCTATGGACACAAAAGGATGGGAACCCGGGTCCTGATGTAGGCGACATGAGTCATGATGTGAGTGTTTCACAGCCAAGGTTTGCACACGTCAAGGACAAACACCGCCGCTTGTTACATGCAATGGTGAACTACATGGACGAGCAAGTTGGAGATGTCGTCAAGCTGCTCAAGGCAGAACCGGGCAGCCTGCGTAGTGTTTCTTCAAGCCTTGTTCTTCGTTGCAAAGGCAACATCTTTGCCGTTGCTTGCAATTTGGTGACGTCCGGGATTGTGAAAGTTGCACTGGCAGCAAAAACAATTCGGCGCCCCAACAAGTTCCAAATGCCGAGATTTGACCGAAATGTTCTCCGTTCTCCAGCAATCTTGGAGTTCGACGGGGATCCCAGATATGATATCGAATATGTGTTCATCGTTTTGTGATGTCAACGCTCCGGGTTTCGCTCATTCCGACCAACCGGAAAGCTCGGACGAAAGAACAGAACGCAAGATGCTGCCGAAGCATTGGCAGCCGCTAGCAGCCATTCGGCAAGCGACAACGGTCAGCACTATATCTAGCCTATGGGGAGGCTTGGGACAAGATGAGGGATGACAGGATTCACGAAGGGCGAGAGTGATGTGGCCAGTGACAAGCACTTTGCTAGGGTGGCAAACACGATGTCTGGTTCATGGGGCCAGGGACAAGGCGAGAAGGGGCGGCACGACATGCAAGATGCAGAGGCAGGCCACAAACGGACAGGGCGAGCCCCGATGTCCGGTTCACAGAGAGGCAGAAGGTTTTAGTTCTTGGATTCCCGGCCTGTTCTTGTTGACAGGCTTTTTGACTCTTTGCTGCCATTTGCTGCCTCAGCTTTACAATGTAAGAACGATGAAGGAACTGCTTCGCCTCGTCTGCGGCAGATGCAGAGCCTTCCGGATCTATCGGGGTCGATTTTTTCAGAGTGAAAGAATGATGGTATTGCGGCGGCGCAGATATGCACATCCGACTTGGCTCGAAGCACAAGCGGTCTGCGCTTGTCATGTGTTTCCAGAAACGGCCTCTGAGTGATGAGCAGGTTTTCACACAGCCACCGTATGACACTGCCGTCGCCACATGTGTGCCTGAACTTCATTTACATGCGGCAGCTGTGCACAACTGTGCTGCGACAGGAGAAGGAGATGTGGAACACGAGCCTGGTAGTTTTTCACAGTGACAATGGCGGCGAGATTATGGGAGCGGGAATGTGTGGAGGCAACAACTGGCCGTTGCGTGGAGGCCGGAATTCTGAGAAAAGCCAAATACGCCGCACAGACTGGACTTAGTGAGCGTGGGCATGTATGGTCATCTGTGAACAGTCTTTCCAGGTAAGTTCTCCAACTTCGAGGGCGGAATCCGTTTCTTGGCGTGCGGTCGACCGCTGCAGTCTTCGCATTATCTTGACCAAATACAAAGGTGTTAACGCTTTCGTGACCGGTGGGCTTGTGCCGTCATCCCGCCACAAGCTCAGAGAAATCGGAAATGACCCCAATGCCACTGCTGCCATAGTGTGCTCAGTCTGCAGAGCAGGTCACAATGTGACAAAGATGTCCTCGTTAGCTTTGATTCCCAAAGCTCCAAAAACATTGGTGGACAAACGGTGAAGAAGCCTTGGATCTTTTCCTCAAGCAGGTCGTGGCGCTCGCGATGAGGGCTTTGCGGTAGCATGGGACTGGCCATGGACCAAGCGTGTGCTTGTGTTTAAGCAGCCACAGCCAGCCCGATCAATGTCAGCAACACTCCTGAGGTATGCCACTTATGCAGCGCTTGCGGGCGTAGATCCCTTTGATCATCAGGCGGCAGCAGCTGGGCTGCCGCCGCATGACTCCTTGGTTTCTTGGACTTAGAGGGGGTACATGTTGGCAATGGAAGGCAATTCGAGCAACCCATGTGTGCTGAGAACCTGTGGCCATGGCTGTCTGGAGAAGTTGCACGTTCCCCGCGCGAGGAGTATCTCGCTTGGGCGGTGCTCATGTAACGAAGGAAAGGTTTGGAAGTTCTGACATGTCTGAGAAGTCTCAGTGTGCTGCATATTCTGCATGCATGCAAGCAGTTCCTGTCCTTCCCACGACGGCGCAAACCCGTTCTCTATGCCTCCGCATTTGCCTCCACTCCTCCTGTGTTGGCCTGGCTTGCAGAAGCCTCTGACGTTCAGTTCCCCCGAGCGCCGGAGGAAGTGGTCATTGGCGAGACCTCTGCTGCAACACCCAACGGCGATGGCCAGACCTTTGTCGGTGGAGTCATCCGCGGGAGGCCCTGGAACTGGGGCTGAGTCTTCGGAGGGCCGTATACGTTCAATCGTTGCCAGATACAAGCTGCTCATTGGCGTGGATGCGCGGAAATGGAACTCCATGGGCCTTCGGCGGCAAGTCAGTCAAAACGCAGCTCAGCTTTTACACTAGAGAACAGCGTCTTTTTCGTGGAACAGCCAGTGATCTTGCTATGTGCCGAACTTGAAGAAGCCCGTCATTGCAACACCATTTCTGCAGCTAGCTATTTGCCTGTGTACAAAACAGACAACAACTACTTTCGTGGAGAGGTAATAACGGGGCCACGCTGGCCAAACACCAGCAGCCACTTAGCACCTCGGCATGTATGCATGGAGTACTGCGCTTAGGCCAGTCATCTGCTTATTTTTGTTTCAGCAGGCTATGCTGGGCTTTGAACCGCGACTCAGCATAAGGTGCCTCTTCTGCATCCACGTCACTGTGGCAGGGACCCACAACATGGATGCCTCTTTGTGGCCTGGTCGTCGCACTTATATCTAGGGGGCCTCAATCCACATCGAAGCACTTTCTCACGATGTTTCACCAGATCAGTATTCTGAGTTTGCCTAAGGACATTTTCCAGGATCCAGGCGAATCTACATCGACCCTCGGTGGATGTTGCCTCCTGCGTCTCTGCGTCAGCTGCTATCGTGTAGTGGCTTGAGTTTTCGCGGTGGTCAAGGATTGCTACCCAAAAGCTGGACGTGTTCCGCGAGATGGTGTCTCGAGTGGACGAGCTGCAGCAAACTGTCTACTCCCCAAACAGAGGCTCCAAGGACGTGGCTGCGTGTAGAAAGGCGCAAAATCAGTACAAGGGTTGCTTGGCTGCAGCACTTCCAATCCTCGCCAACTTTCTGAATGTGGGAGGGTCTGGAGGCTTTCTATGCGTGCACTGGACCCCTAGCACACTGCAAGGCTACTGGGGTCCGTGGCTGCTGACTGAGCTTGCAGAAAACCAAATTTTGGTTTAATGGTGTGATGTCATTTGCAAAGCAATGAACACTGCACCAGTGCATTGCAGTCATCTGCTTCGTTTGGATGTAGATGGACGGCAGTTACTCGCACAAGTCTGCGAAGTCTTCGTCATCAGCTCCCGATTTGTCGGGTGCTTGATGAAGCTACAGTGGCCCCAGAGAAATGCTTGCAGTTGCATACAACTCGGAAGGGGAAGTCCGCAGTGGCCCACATTAAATCAGACGCCTGCTAGCACTGTGACTGTAGTAATTGGCTCCAGGCAGGACGACGCAGTTTGGCATAGAAGCTTGCACAAGGGTCATCCAAGCAGTCCACGCGCATTGCTGCACGGTGGAAACGCCTCCAGTCGCCGGACTCTCTTGATGTTGTGCAGTTGTGCACTTGCGCAGTATAGGACAACAGGTTTGTGTCAATAGGCACCAGATTGGACAGTGGGAGGTTTTCCAAGCACCCTGCGCCCGGAGCCGGAGCGGGCTCTCGCCATGATCTTAGGGGAGACTCCGTTCCAGCGGCACCTGCTGGCACTGAGCGCAGAGTATGAGCGGCTGGCTCTGGAGAACACCGAACTCAAGAGGGAGCCGCTTCGAAGCAGGCGAGCATCAAGGCAGATGTTCGAGATGCAGTACACTTCGTGGTCAACTGGCCCGAAAAATCGTAGACTGACTAAACTTCCTATGCTTGGACCCAGCACGATTCATCTGTAGCTTAATTTGGTTTGCTCGAAGGGGTGCTCATGAAAAGCTGGCGCGAGTGGAATCGGAAAGGCAGTTCTCAGACCTTCGGTTGTTTCTCATGGCGAGACCAACCTATCAAGAGGCTGTTGTCGCAGCTACCAACCAGAAGTGTGTTTGCGATTCCAAAGTGCCAGATGTGTGCAAGCAAGCAGCCAAGGATGCAGGGGACGCAGCTATTTCATCGTTTACGGCATGAAGATCACGCACCTCAGTTGAGCGAAGGGCATGTTACGTGTCGAATATGGAGTCGTCGGTTCCTGAGATGTAACCCGAGGATGCTCCACCCTTGCAGCCGGTGACTGCCTATGTAGCCACTGCATCAACCTCCCTGTCATTGGACCTGCCTGGGACCGTGAGGAACGAGTGTGCCCTGTCCTCGATTGCAATCCAGTGGGCCTGCCCATGCTGTTAAACTGCTAAGCAGATGGGCCGGTCGCAGACATCAGTTTTTGATTTGCTGGTGGGTGCCTGCGTGTCTTGCCGGATGCTTTGTTTGAGTCAATTTTCCGGACCCGCGTTACTGTACCGGGTTTCAGTCATTGCCACTTGGGTGTCCATGTATGGTTTACTGTTACACCCGTCCCTGGTAATGATCTCCAAGGCTGCTTCCGCAGCCTCGCAACTGTTAGGATTGAGGAAGTTTAGGAAACTTAGACTATCTGTGCATATCCTGAGCTGGTACGGCGGTAGCTTTGAGCCGCTGCCTTTGCTGTTGCAACTCAGGGATTCCGAACGCTCTCAAGGAGGAGGGATGCTGCTTGCCTGCCAGCATTGATTGTCTTTACAGCTTTTCGCAAGCACTGGCGGAGCTGGCCAGTCCAAATCGAACTGAGGCGACAAAGTGCCAAACGGCAGTCCTCGACGAATCGGTTCGAAGAGTGGAGCAAGCAAGCTGAAGCGGCAGAGACTCGCTGATAATTTCGTCTTCTGAGGGGTCAGCTTGTGGCTTCGGTGCGCTGAGGAACACGGGAAGTCTGAACAAAGTCCCTATCGATGAGGAGGAGTCCGAGGACACAGGGTTTCATGCTGCCGACCTAGGCCGCCTCCACTTCTAAAGGTGCCTGACGTGAGGACAACTCAACTTTCTTATTGCTTCTGGACGTCATTCCAGCTTGTGTGATCGTTCTCAGCGCTGCCATTGCTGGGATCAGCGCCGACATTTGCCCAGAGCATGCAGTGTGGAAGGCCTGCAGTGATGTTCGACCTAGACACTCGTGCACTTGCCCGTCATTGGAAACCCCCGGTGTCCATACCGCTTGGTTCAACCCACCCCAACAGGTTTTGGAAATCTGCTTCACGGTCTTCTTCATGGGAGAGTCTCAGTGGCACATGTGCAGAGGACCTTTGTTCAGGCATGGACTTCACTTGATTGCTGGGGTATGCGGTATGCACCCAGACGAGGGCAGCATGCCTTCCGTCCTCAGTAGTAGGAAGCAAGGTGAGCAGGCACAGTAGACATGAACTGCTTGGTCGTAACCGGCAATGAATGGCAATCAATGGACTATGCAAGGAGATCGTGATGAAGCTGAGAGTGTTCGGGTTCAGGGAGTACCTGCGTGGAGCAGATTGGCGGCTTGCACCAATTGTTTCTGGAGCTGCATGTGTCTGGCATTGAGTGAAGACAGCCTCAAGTACGAAACCCTCTAGCAGACCTCCAGATACGGGCATGCAGAACGTTTAACAGCACCAAGGTATTGGAGCTGGTTCGACATCATTTGTGTCGCTTGCATGCAATTCTCACCACCCCAGTATTGCTTTCGAAGTTCGGGATCTCGCACACTCCGAGCCACCAGTTCCATCAGTCTACTTCATGGCAACCCATGCGGTTTGAAGCTGCAGACTTGGCTGCGTCATAATGATGGTGACGCAGCGGCTATTCGCTGCGTAGACTTCGGAAACTAGTGTAGTGCGCGGCATTGCAACTTTTAACCAGGAAAAGTCGTTCAACTCGGAACTTGTAAGATTTGTTCGTACATGTCGCCAGCAGGACTCTGAGAAGAATCACCTGTTTCTTTGTGCTTTCCTCAGCTTTGTTTTTTGTTTCGGGTTTTCTCTCAAAACGAAGGCCCACACTGGGTTGAATGGTTGGCTGTGGTAAAGTGGTGGCTGCAATCTTGGCTCCACTGGTCTCCCTTCATAATTCCGTTGTCGTAGGCTGGTGGACTCTTTATTGGCTCCCTTCATGGTGTTGGGTTGGATAGGTGGGGCAATGCCCTTGTCGGGACTCCCTTCACGTCTCTTGGGGCTCTGTGGTGGGTCTATTCGTGGTCCTGGGTCGTGCCTGAATGCACATACACTAGGACGGTCTGAGCCGCAAGCACAAACACAGAGACAAGATGGAACTGCGAATATACAGGAATAAGCATTGAATAGTAAGAAATAGGTGCATACATAAATAAAGAAGTAAATGAAGAAATGTAAAGAATTTTCACTAAGGCCTGGGACGTTGATCATGTGATTCCGTCCGGTCGGTGGTCCTCGACGTCTGATTCTTTCTCGCTCGGCCTTTCCACTCCCCCAGACGACAGAGGAGGAGTCGGTCGATGAGAGGGGCTAGCTCGGCAACTATGTGGCTGTCGGATCTACCCTGGATCTGGGTCGAGTGGCAGTGGAGATGCCCTGGACGCGCGCCGGCTGTGCACACCCCGTTCGAGATGAGAGCCCCGGATGACATCGAGTGGGCGCTCGTGAGCTAAAGCAACGACATTGAGAGTGCCTGGCTTCACGGGATGAACGTCTCGTCAGCCCCTTCCAGACATGTCTCGTGGAGGAGATTATCTAGAATGCGGGATCAATGTTCTCACTGAGCGCGAGCAGGTCGCTGTTCGAGAACTACAATTTTGCTGTTCAGCATCGGCTCTAAGACAGGTGGTCCCGGCTTCGTGGGACAGTGCGACTGCTCAGACGCGATCCCACGAAACGTTCTAGCCGTTCGTCTGGCCGATCATGCGGGACACCTCGGCGACATATGTGGAGGTGACGTTCTTCAATGGCAGCGAAATTCTTTTCCACTGGGTCTTCCTTAGTTACCGCTCCCGCGTTCACGAATAACTTCTACTCATGGCAGACTGTGGTCGGTGTGGTCAACTTTGAGAAGCTCATGAATGACTCACGAGTGTCCTTAACGGTTCACTCGATGAGCGAATGGATGCGATCGTTTCCCGTTGCCTGCACTCGAGTCGGACAGCCCGCAGGGACGAAGGCCGCTCGACAGCCGGCCATGCATGCGTCTGTTGTGCACACTGGTGAGGGAAACTGCTCGTGCCCGGACATTGGAGCTCGCCACAGATTTGGGTTTCGGAATGGCTGCGGGATCCAGGCCGGATCCAGGCTCACCCTTTAAGCCAGGCGCCCTCCGTGCGTTACTTCAGCGACTCCAGGTCAGGGCCCGGAGCCTTGAGGCGGAGGTTGGTTTAAACAGGAAAGCGGTTAAAGAAAGCAGCAACAAACAGAAATCGAAAACCAGATATGCAAGCAGCAACAAGCAAAGCAAAAACAAAAGCGCCAAGCAGCGATAAGCAAGAGTACAGAGCAGCAGGCAGAAAGCAAAAGACGAAACGCAATAAGAAAAAAGTAGTCAAGCAGCAAGCAGAAAACAAAAAACAAAGACATACCAGAAAGAAAACAAACAGTCTCATAAAAAATACATTTCATCATCAAAGCGCAGTGATCCGTTACCAGAACCCACCAACCGAAGTATCCCATGACGCCATCGTCAGCGTTGACCCGGGTCACGACGAACCGTTCCAGGGCCTTGAGATCGCTTCTTTCGTCTCTTTCGCGTGATCGTGGCAAGCTTGGCGCTGGAGGGCTGAATCGGCACATCAGATGGTGTGTTTAACATAAATGATGAACCGGAGTCTACGTGCCTTGGACGGGGCTCCAAGCGCCGATCCAGAATGAAATCAACATCGCGCTGCTGGATTACTACACCTTCGCGGAGGTGGATAGCAAGATCTTCCTGACCCAGGCCCAAGGAGACACCAGATACTTCGCTGTGATCGCCAACGAAAGCTTCACGTCCCTGGTGAGGACGAACATAGGCTCTTGACGCGGGCGCCCCTGGGTGAGGCCACCCTTTCGCCGGCACCACGCTGGAGCTGACCTGCGACGCCTACCCAACAGGGCGTGTTAAAGCTGTATGATAACCCGGAATCGCCAAATGAGGGGGGGGTGTTTAAGACATGATGACATGAGCCGGATTCGCCGAATGAAGGGGCCGTGTTTAAGATATGACGCCTGTACCAATGAGAAAACAGTTGCCCGCACTCAACAGCATCGTGTGCAGGCAGTAGAAGGGAATGAATTTTTCAAGTCGCAGCCTTGGTTTATACCCATGGCTTCACAATTCACGAAACCCTTAATTAGACGATAAGTTAGAGCCTCGCATTTCTGGGGCCGAGCAACTGGGCCTGAAACATTGCAGGCAGCTCTGTGGCACATATCAACCTCAAAATCCAAAACGTGTTAAATTTTTCGCTGCTACCTGGCCAGTAGAGAGAAAGGATTGGGATATTGTTTTCGCCGCATCATATTGAAAGCAGCTTTGATTTAGAAGAGTGTGTCCAATCGGCATCTTTACTTGGTCGGGGTTTTCGCCCAATGCAATTGGTGGAAACGCAGTTGAAGCTTGAACCAGCAGGGGCTGATCGATGTCGGAGGTGTCCGCTGTTCAGGTTGTCTGGATCTCACGAGAACGTAACTGTCACAGCTTCACCGTCCCCCTTCGACATCAGGTCGTGTTGGCCATCGTGGACCTAAGTTTGACTTATTCCAGCATGGACCCGGCTGCCAGTTCTGGATGCCAGGCTGGTCCTGCAGTTAGTGACACGAGTGGTTGACGCTGCGTGCACGTGAGTGTCAGTTAGTTGCAGAATGTTGCAGACCAGCAGTAGCATCAACGTTTTGACCCCAGCATACATCAAGCAGCATTTTTGCAGTCGCATGGGTTTGCATCCTCGCATCCTGGCAGGCCCCACAGGAGAGTTCATCAACAGAGGGCTCGGCAGCAGGTTCGGGAAAGTCTGCGTCGATGGATTCACGGGGCGTAGTGGCCACCTTCGAGTATCACAATATCACCTCGCAATGCAAATCTTTCACTACAAGTAGGTCATAACCGCACTTTGCAGGAACTTTGGGGTCGCTCAAGATGCTGAAGCTGGCTCGCTTGGGCAGAATTGTTCGATTGCTGAAGTTCAAGATTTTCCAGGACGGCCCGATGCGAGGTCTCAGGAGGTGGAGGGTTCCCGCGAGACCGCCAAAGCTTGCTCAGGAGCTGAAGTTGATGATCCAAGGGGCGGTCGCCTGAGCACTTTCTCTGTCGAGCCACACAAAGTGTTTATACACGGCGATGGGGGTTGAATCTGGGGCTATTGTAAAAAGTAGTCCAGTTGGGTCAGTAAGATGTGCGAAAAGTGGGCATGGTGTGCAGTATGCTATTTGCCCTCCTGCCTGTGCAGTCTCTAAGGTCTTTACTGGCCTTCGCGTGCTCTTCTGGGCTGTCGTGTTGTTAGTCGGCTGCATGTACCTCCTGGGCGTCATCTCTCGGACCGTTGCAGCAGTCACGCAGCATGCAGTTTTCTTGGGCATGTCAGCCGGGGAGGCATCAGTCAGTCATCAGTCTTATTGCCCTTTTCTTGGCGACAGACAGGACTCTCTTTTGGGAGTTCGAAGAGCTTCTCGGAACTGCCTCAAAGAGCCACATTCTTGACAACGCAGTAGTTACCTGCTGGAAGCCAAAACCACAGTCCTTGCGAACGCGACAGCTAAGGTTCACAGATGTCCCCTCAGCAATGTTTACGGCTTTTCGCTGCTTTACAGATGGCTGTGCGGCATACGATGGTACGCCTCTGCAAGAAAAGCTGCGAAAACAGAAAGGCCCGATTTTCATGCTGCTCGCTTTCACTAGATTCAGAAGTGTCTCTCGGAAGAGGGAAGAGGTCAGAATCTGAGCTTGATTGCAGCTAGACTAGGGAGCAAACCCTGCCGATGGGAATCTGAAACACCTTACAGCTGCTGGACGAAGACGGAGTGCATTGGGAATCGATTTGGGAGGTAAATCTTCTGAAACAGGCTGACACGACATAACTGCTTTTTGATCGCCCCGTGCTGCGTGGACGGTCTAAGGTTTGCGTACATTCTTCTGTTCTTGTTCGTGGCCTGCTCGCACGTATCAGCTTGCGACGTGAGCCTTGCTCGCAATGATACATGCTTTCTCACTCTTGCTGGGTGCTTGAGGTTACGATTGGAATATTCAATTTAATCATGGAGCCTTGGATAAGCAGGAAGAAAGTTCCGGGCAGCAAGGAATCCAGTTCAACTTGAGCGCAAGCCGAGGCTGTCTTCATAGACAATGTGACAGATGGCAGCACAAAGAAAAGACAACGGCAATTGGGCCAGAATGCTCCAAGAACTGAGTGGGCCTTTCAACTGCAAAAGTCTGATGAATGCGAAGCAATCAATGTGATCAATGCGGCATGATTGCTTACGTGCGGCATGTGATGCCACATATGGCCACGTGCAGACAACTGCATCGAGGTCATTGCGTCAGCACTCAGAGAGATCATCCTCACCAACTTAGTGCGCAAGCAGGCACCGCGCACATGACCCTGTGCTAGCGTTGCAGAAGTACACGGTGGGATCTAACCCAGCTTGCCTCTACCAATGGATTGAGAGATGCAGAACGAGATTGGAACGTGCTGATGCAAGCGACTGCGTTTTGCCCATGCTCATGCGAAGGCAGAGACCAAAGAAACGGCACTAGTTCTTAGAAGCACGTGGCCACTGTTGCTCAGGTTGAGGACCAGGTGGCGGAAGAGGAGCGCAATGGTGTAACTCAGCAGAAACTGGGTTGTCATCCACTCATCCTCCAGTCTGTCAGGGTAGATGAGCATGAGGGAGACTGTCATCCTGTCAGGCATCGATCACGTTGACACAGAAATAGCATCAACTAGCACGATGTCGTCCCCGTTGTCGCACTGACGCCTTCAGCATTCTTGACGACGCGAATTTGTTAGTTGCGTTTAGTTGCGAACGATAGTGGGACCAGCTATGCCGAGCGTGATCGAGCATGGTGCCGTGAGGCAGGTCGGGATTAGGTCACTGTATGCGTTCGTCGTCATAAGGCGCAGTTTTACAGGTTCGGTGCCAAGAACGTCTGGGTCTCACATTGTTGCCAGAAGAAGCTGAATCGGGTGCGCATGAAGCTTTGGCAAGCCATCATGCCAGAAGTCTAGTCATCAAGAACTGTGCTGGTCTGATGAAAGCCAGAGACCAACATGCTGCAGTTCTGCACGACTGCTCTGTCGGGCCGAGCTTCGGAGCATTTCTGCGCAAGCGCACCTTCATGTCTGAGGTTCCGGGTGGCCAGCGGCGAGTTTCGAAGCTTTTGCAGGAACGTTTGCAGGCTCTTCAGGAGATGTACGGCCCATCGGCAAAATTTCGAGTTCGTTCCAAGATCAAGGGCAGAACCAGTCAATTGCAGTCTGCACTCTCCTATTCGCTGCAGGCTACAAGCCCCACACGACACAGGAGTATGAGGACTTCACTTGGCAAATCCGCCAGGAGATGGCAGAGCGGGATATCGCCGCGTGTATGCAATAGAGTAGCGCCGCCAACGTTGTACTTCCGGCAGTCAATGTTGCCCACCGTCTCTGAAATGACATCTTTCGCGACTTTAAGGTTGTTACCAAGGAGGAGTTCAACCATTGGTGCCTTGCTGCTGAGTAGGTGCACTATCACTCGTCGGGGGTTGACACACATTCTTCCTGATTACTGGAATCATCTCGAAATCTGAGGCTATCAACAGAAAAGGAGCTGATATCAAGGTGGGATGGGCCCAAACTCATCTCAGCATCATCGGCACAGAGCTTGCGCGAGGTTGGAGGAGTCGGAGATAGACATGTCCTGCAAATTTGATCTTTTCGACGTTCTCGACGCTGACCTGAGTGGTGAGTTGGAGTTTGAGGACTTGGGAGACTGCAGAGAAATTGTCACACAAGCTTCCCAAGCAGACTTCGAAGTCCATGCTGGCATTTAGTAATGAATGGTCTGTCACGCCCACGTTATATTGTCTTGCCTCACTTGCCTGTAGGTAGCCAAACTACATCTTGAGACAGTAGAATCAGTAGAAGTAGTAGTAGAAGAAGAAGCAGTAGTGGTAGTAGTAGCAGCATCGGTCATCGCAGCACCACTACTACTACTACTACTACTACTACTACTACTACTACTACCACTACCACTACTACTACTACTGCTACTACTACTACTACTACTACTACTACTACTACCCCCGTGGCGGCTTAAATAGCCAAAAGGTGTCCTGGCCCGATGCAAGAAGTTTCTTCTGTTCCTTGAAGGCTAATACAGACTTTTGCCTGCTGGCACGCTTCGTGTTCCACATGCTATTATCAATGCAGTAGTGACGTTACTACATGCCCGCGCTGGCGCAGCCGATTTGCTTCTGCAAGACGGTGAAAGAGCCGCTATATGCGGTGGACCTGTTACTTTGAAACGACGCTGACGCCGAGTAAACGAGGGTGCGCAGGAAGAGGACTCAGATGAGGATGACAGCAAACCGTGGACACAAGTCATGGCCAGCACTGTCGGCAAACTCTACGTCCAACTGTGTCTTGTCTGCAAGTTATCCAGTTATTTGAGATTTCGTCGTGTTTCTGTGCTGATCCACGTTGAGGCAAAGTTCTCTATTACAAGATCACTTGATCAAGTACTATGTGGAGTGGTGCTGCATCGACGACCCTCGTCAGCCTGGCTTGTGCACCCAGGACATCTGTCTCGTGTTTGCGGAGGATGAAGGCGTAAGTCAGGTACGGAAGACTGGCTCGAACAACATATATGTATTCTTACCACATCGAATCTTGGACCCCGTACCTGACGATGCCAAGAAGCGCGTGCACAGGTTTTGGCAGACTACTTACTGGAACAATCGCCACGCTTTCCGCTGCTTCATGGCAGCCTTCACTTTGGCAATGCGCGGCGAGCACATTGATCGTGCGTTTTAAGGTATCGGTTCTGGCGGTGTTGGCCAAAGGCTGCAAACTGCCCACTTGGAAGCCATCTTGGGCAGTTTTTACTCTTGCTTGGATACGAATATATACTATTCAGACGAAGAAATGCACAAGCAGGGTGCATCTTTGCTGGGCAAACTTGCTGTCACTGGCCAGGAGTCTGTCCAGGGGAGCCGTAAGGCGTGCGCGGGGATGTCTACAAGAAGCCCATGTCCGCCGACAAGCTGCCAGAGCGCATGCCCTACGCTATCGAAACACGCTTGGTGGAACTTCGAGGGTGGAAGCGGTTCGAGTTCAACATGTTGCCAAGGTCGCTTGTTTTGAAGATGCAAACAGATGCGCCTGTTAACCAGAGAAATTAACCGCAAGCGATCAATCCAATGAGGTTCCTGGGTGTCAACGAGGAGACCTTCAACTCTATGTTTCGAAGATCTTTAGTTATTTGTTACAAGGCTGTGTTTATGGAGATGGACTTCATACAGCAAAAAGTTGAGGATGCCGAAAGCAAAGGCATTTTCCCAAAGGGCCCGACGCTAAAAGATTTCTTGCGATCAAAGCCTGCGTGCCTTGTCACTCTGCGAATGCTGTGGCAGTTTGTCTGACAGAAAGCTGTGTGCGACAAGCATGTGGCCTCAAAGTTATATTATAGAACAAACAGAGGATCCGCAAGCACCTCAGCTTCGAACTCACGTAGTCGAAAACGAACAGGAGCCAAGCGATCTGGCGAGGACTGCCGCTGCACAGGCTGCAAACTTGGTGTTGCAAAGACAGAGCGACGAGATTGCCAGCTGAATGATTAAAGTAGGGAAGGACTGGTGCACATCTTATCAAATTAAATTTGGCCAAGGAAAGCAGGCCTGCAGTCCAGTCGTCAAGATGCAGATCAAATCCTGAAAGCATTGTCCAACAACGATTTCATGGTGACAAGCACTTACAATGTCCACAAGCAAGGTCTTACAGACGCGTTTCATCCGCGAGTGTCCTCGTCGAAATCATGGGGGCAGGTTATGACGCTCGGCCACCACGCTAACATGACCTTTCCGGAGCTCTACGACTGCGAGGCGTTACGCCAAAGCAGGAAAGGACGTCTTGCTAACATTGTTGTTTTCCGCAAAGCTCATCGGACAAGGGTGGATGATTTGAAGAAGACTGCCAGGCAGGGAGTTAAGGATTCCAAAGAAAATGCGCGTATGCAGCAGGAAGAACAAAATGCAGTTGTTCAGACGTTGGAGGCACATCTGGCAAGGGAACGCGAGCTTCTACATGCTTTGCAGACCTTTTGGTTGCAGGATGAAGAGGCACTTGAAATGGCTGTCCAATGCACCTAGACGTATAAATCAGATACACGATGCCGACGCACATGGAAAGGTGTGGGTGCGCAGACTTTCTCACGAGTGTTTCGAGACGCTGCTCGTACAAGTGTTCGGGATTTCGACTTTCATGCAGGTATGTTTTCAATCGAGAGGTTCAGCTGGTCGACAAGCTAGAGGCCTCTTTCCAGCCGACATTGCCAGCCTTGCCATGTTGGCGAGCAGTGGCCAAGGACAGACGGAATGTCTGCGAAAACGTGCTTGGCTGCAGTCAAGTCAAAGGCAATTCTATTCTTGTACAAATAGCCTGTGGGAAAGCTGTCTCCTCGATTACGAATGTGTCCGAGCAGGGTAACAGATTTCTGACGGGTTTGGCTGCGGAGAGCCGCTGTCTCCGGTGGCTTGCTGTCACACAGTGTCCAACTCTCTACCAGAATGTTAAAGACGGGACGAATGACTACAGCAAATTAAAATGGCCAGAAGCAACTGTCTCTGCGTGTTGGGTTTAATGGTGGATCTCGATGCTGCACGAAAACATATCTCTCTACATTTCGATGGTGTCCTTTTTTTGTCTGCCGAGCTTGTGGAGGCCGTGGAAAACCAGCACGAGAGCAAAGCATTTGTGGCTATCGCTGAGGCTGAAATTCTGCGGCGTACGGGCTTTTTCATCACTATCCACGAGAAGAAGTTCCAGTCACTTCGACAGGCTTTTTATAACCTGTGTGTGTATCAGCTATCGACGCAGGCAAATTGGAGATACTGCTGCACTCTCGGAACTGCGTAGCATCTTCGTACGCTTAGCTCACGGATGACTGGGAGTTAATTGCAGAGATCGCGCAGCGAGATGATGGAATTAGCGCACCAGCACATCAGCAAGGATACAGATGCTACAAAGACTGGACTTTGATAGACACTAAACACCACCTGAAGCCAAGCTTTACATTACCGTGTGAAGCAGGTGCATTTTTCCTTGTCCACGTCCATCTGTCGCTCGGCCCGTATTGCTTCGCTATCAAGGCGTTTACAGATGAGCAGGTCGAGATCTTTTACGAGCGCAAGATTTTCAAAATGACACTTGATGCTTTTCAAGATATGTTCTCTGAATGTTGCGAAGCATTCAGCACTGTGTTCTTTTGCGTAGAAAGCACGAAGCCAACCATGACGTCGTCAGAAGAGCAGTTGTTGGATCTGGTGGCAGGTACTTCTTCGTGACGCTGCGACCGGTGTGGTGGAGTTGAAGACACCGAGGCCGACGTTGATGTTGGTGGCCAGCTGCGTGAATTGCTCCAAACGGAGGTGAAGGAGCTGTTGAAATCTCTGGAGACTGCAGAAGGTTCAGCTTTTCCATCCCAGGTGTGTCCTTTGTGTCCATGGGGGCGTTTCGACAAACGGTGTCTCCTAGTAACACATGTCACCAAGCATCATTCTGCATCAAAGCGGTTCGCTGCGTCTGGAACCAAACAGCTTCGTATCATTGCATCTATGTATGATGATGATGCTATTCGGAACGACATCTCTGGCAACTACCTGCGGCGTTCCGCTGAATTACTGCGTAAGCAAGTGCCGCCACAATGTTCGTTTAGACAGAACTCCATCGACGCGCACGTCCGCCTCTGCATGGGATCTAAAGGCCCGTTTTTGTCCACCAAGCAGATGAGACAAGTGCAGCATCTTCGGCGAGTTGGCAATGTATATTACAACTGCGCTCAGTTGCGAATGCTTTTATGTGCAGCGCGGTGGCAAGTCGATGCTCTTTCCGACAAATTGCTGCAACGTTTACAACGGCTGCGACTCGTTCCGGAGGGCAGCTGACTTCATTGTTGCCCGAAGCAAGTCATTCGTTCTGGTGCAATGTTATGGAAGAGCTCATGCGGGTGCCACAGATGGCAAAGAAGATGCATGAACTTTTAAGCGAGTGTGAGATCAAGAACGAGTTCGAATGTTTGAGCATTGATGCAACAGTAAAATGCATGATGAAGACTTTGTGCCAGGCACGGTTAGAGTCAGGAGGATCGGGATGCAGCTGCGACCGACGACATCTACAAGCTCCTCACTGTCCGTGGACGAAGCAATGCGGTGTTGGCCTTGCGTGGCATCAAATCAGAAGCATCTGCCCTTGTCGCCGATGCATTGTCCTCTTCATTTTCGATGCCCCAGCGATTGCAAGTGTCGCACATTGCATCTGACTGTCCTAGTCCTGAAATGCTAGCTAATCTCAAGACAGTTTGTCCGAATTTGAGATCACTGTCGCTGGACGCGATGCACATCGTAATGGTCTACGAGCAAAATCACAACAACAGGAGCACAAAGGGCAGCAGGTGGCTGGCAACCGCGATGAATAAATTTAGAAATGTTATACCACACTGCGCTGCACGGTCGTGGGGACCTATGTACACTGGTGTCGAGCAAATTTCACACACAGCCGAAGAGAAGCGCCTGAGTGCCCTGATTGCCAACAAGGCCATGCCTGAGGAAGCAACTTCTGTTCTGGATGGATTGGATCCGGACGTGCCTTATCGAACCGAGTCGCAATTTCTTCAATCCATGGCAGCCATCTAGTCGTTTTTCGCCGATGAGTTAACGAAGACGACGTTTTCGGGGCCGACATTGCATCGATCGTTGGTTAATCT